TACTAGTATTTAATCACCAAAAACAAGTTGATCAGGTTATCAAAAGAGTTAGGCTCTGAAATTTTAACCAAAAATTCACCTTCCATAACTTAGCATAACCACAAATTTTCAGCCTCAAGATCAAAGTATGCTATTTATAAGATTCGAGCAAGTTTATGGCAAAGTCGAGCATAAATTATCAACCAGACCAAAAGAATGATTCACCCTCTGAAATATTTATCTAAGGGACCTCCACATGTGAATAGTAGTGTGTACAAATCTCAGCCTTAAACACCTAACATGTGAATTAATAAAATTACTACCACATTCAACAGTTTCCGTATTTTAAATAAAACCGAAACATTTTGAACTCCAAAAATTCTAATATTTTTACAGCATGAAATAAATCACAAAACAAGCATCTCAGCCAAAAATAAGAATTTTCCAGCAATTAACCAATTTATCAAAATTAAAACACTATTCAGCAGAAACCGTAAATAAATTATTCACCCTATCAATATCAATCCAAAAATTCCAAAATTTTTACACAGCAACCAAATCAGGCATATTAACAACATATTAAAATATCAAGAATTTTGGAGCACTACACAAGTTATTATGAATTTAACATGAATCTGACCAGAATTCACTATAATTTTTAAAAATAGCTACAGACCTGCAAAAATTCTGAAATTTTTACACGAGCTATATAATGACCAGTGGCAGTTACAGTAAACATTTCACATCAATTGGATCAGTATGTTATTTTTAAAAATTTAAACACCGAAACAGCAAGCATAAACGATCACAAATCATAAACGACTCGACTTACGACGAATTTGTCCTAGGTCTTTGCCATAAGACCAAGGGTTCGATAGGTTCCAGCCCACAGCAACATTCTCACGAATTGACGAGGTCTCGTTCGATTTATCAAACTCGAAGAGCTCGTCTTTACACATAATTCTATAAACACAGAGAAAATCGTAGGCATATTTATACACATTCGAGAGTCACGATCAACACAACAAATAAACTCATAACAAGAACGATACATAAGATTTAACATGACTGGAAGTTTGAGCTTTGTACCGTTTTCGAGAATACGAACGATAGACGAGTAACGAGACGATCGAACGGGGCTGACGGTACGCGCACTTGGCAGCAAAACGTGGCTCGCGCGGCGTGCGGGTTTGCTTGGCAACA